CCGAATTAAGAAAACTCCAAATGGGAAGCCGAAGGTAGCCCATTTTAATCGCTTGGCTCCATTCGCTTTGCAAATGAAAAGGAGGCGCGGGCCAATTATTAAGAACTATTCTTTCCGAGCCCACATTCGAAGAGTCCATGTTAACAGGAGTTCTGGAGTGACGCAAGAAATTCGTCGAGACCTCTTTTCTATATCCAAAGAATATTCTCTGGCCCATTGCGTTTCAAAAGATCTCAGAATGAATGAATGAATATCGCGTCCGAGTTAAAACGCAGATTTGGCGGTTTGGAACATCTTGAAGACCAAGTACAGAAGGGAAAAAGACTGTTGTGCTTGCCTGACGGACGACGCAATATCCATTACCTAGTAACTAAAGGAAGATGCTCTGATAAACCAACTTTTATTGACCTTTGGAACGCAGTAATGGAACTCCGCGGACATCTTCTGGAGAATAACCTACACAAGCTGGCGATTACGAAACTTGGTTGTGGACTGGACAACCTAGATTGGAGAATCGTACGGAACATGATCGAAGTCCTGTTTCGCCGTACTGGAATAGACATTTTGGTTTGCAGTAATAACCCGAATCGGACCAATCATGAGAAGACCGTGGGCTGTTACTTCTATTCCAGAAGCGGATGTCGTGAGAGCGAGAACTGCAAATTCCGGCATGATCCTGCGAAACGGAAAATGAAAATGTTTCGGGACATCCTTAAGGAGGGGGCAGTGTAGCGAGCACGAGCGTGTTTGTGTGCGACCGGGCATACGTATGTGTGAGCGGCTTATCGATTCGCCGACTAGCCGCTAACGCCTTTCTTCAAGTGCGCCGTATCTGTAAACGTGTGTGTCGTATCTGCGTTACGGGAAAGCAATTAAACAGTTCAAGGAAAACGAAACTTTTCCGGATGGTTGGAGAAAGTTCCCGAAAGGCAACAAAAGAGTATTTAAAGGAAGAGACGATCGCCGCGAGAGTAGAAATAAATTGACCGTTGCAGAAGTGAACCAAGAAATAAATTGACAGTGATAGAAGTGAAATAAATAGCACAGTGAATAGTCATATATGAACAGTAGTGTAAATAAATAGAATAATTACCAAATTTTAGTAATAATTTAATAGTGTTTTTAAGTTCAATAATAATTAGTGTAAATAAATAGTTTTCGTCTTAGAAGTTAAATTTTGTTAAACCCAGGAACATTACGATACCAAAACTTTTCCAAGCGTAACGCCGTTGGTCAATAGTAGGACAAGTCCCGCCCCTCATCACCAGGAGGATATAAGTAACTACGCATCTTTGACACCGATATCCTTCGATCGACCTTCACAGCGAGCGAACCTTCTTAGCAGACAGCAGCAAACTACCAGTCTACCTTCGACTACCCTCCAACCGATCCTTGAGCAGGGCAGACCAGTCTAAGACAACAGTAGCAGCCTTCTACGGACGGATTAGCCGACAAGGCCGACCGTAATTGTTCGATAGCCAACGCTTCACGCATACAGCTATCAAACTATAGACCACCACTGCCTAGCCGACTAAACGCTAATTGAAAATTTTTTTAACCAACCAACGTTCACTGGGACCGAGTACGCAACGTCTCTTTGAATTTAACACTCACCCTGTTAGGAAGCTAACAAACTAACAAACACGAACACACGTTGCACACACATATACGCTTCACATCCTAAATTACACGTTCACACACATACACACTTACACTCCACACATACACACTTACACACACACCTTATTCAACGATCATGATGGCCACCACCTTTGGCACTCCCGGGAAGAGGACTAGGGCCGTGTCGCCAAGCGATGACCAATCTCGCGAGAACGTGATTGGCAGGCGTAGACATTCTGACTCCTCGCATTCATCACCATCTTCCCTTACCTATTCTTCCATTACTTCCCAAACCTCTTCGCCACCAATATTCGAAGCTCTGATTTCCGACATACCAGACAAATTTTCAAACCAAAAATCCCTATACAATACCATACGCAGCCTACCTTTCATCATTTTCTTTACGCTTACATCGTAAAAAAACTTTCTCCCCCCTCAAGACTCTTTTGTCTGAAAAGACGAAAATACAGCCGTACCGAAAGTCCAAATTCCCTACCATTTCAAAGCGAACAGTAGTCAGACCTACCTTCTCTTGCGTCATTCATTCTGTAGATCTGAATATATCCTCAACCGACATCCTAACCGCCCTTAAAGATCAGAAGATCAATGCCAAAAACGCCTGGCGTATCAAGTCCAGGCAAACAGGCAAAGACACCTTCCTCTTTAGGGTAATCTCCAATTGCCCTAAATCTATACACACCCTACTATCCAAAGGATTCACTATGTTTTCTAAAATTTACAGATGTGAACCTTCCCAATCCCCAGGCCCTCAACCCTTACAATGTGGCAAATGCTTCACATTTCGCCACAACACCGCTTCCTGCTTCCAAAAACAACCATCCTGTTACCGCTGCGGTGGTAACCCTCCCTCCTCTTCCTGCACCTCCTCCCCATAACTGTTCTAACTGCAAAGGCAAGCACCTTGCCTTTGACTCTAAATGTCTCTACAGACCCTCACCTAAATCTCTGGCACCTACGAAAACCGCTCCTATCAAGTATGTTGATCCACCAGCAGATGAAATGTCGGAAGACGATCAGCACTCCCGAAACCAGCCGCTTCAATAGGATCGAGGAAACTATCAGGTTTACATAACTATGTATGACCTCACTACATCCGAACCAACGCTTCGTCGAAAGCGTAGTCGCCCGGCAAGCCGCCCAGATTCCATAACACCAATCACCTCACCTCCAAGATACTCTCACACCTAAATCCACACCAATCGATGACTCATCTTCCTCGTTAATTATCATTCGCGGACCTTAAAATTTGTACAATTAACTAAACGGATGGAAGAGAAAAAAGAATAACATAATACACACACTAAATAATGTTCTGTACACATTCTCGCACTACAAGAAACACTATCTACACGCAAAGAATGGCAACACATAGCACAGTACTACCGAAACGACAACCTACTCTACAAAAAAGGGACGGCGCTAATCATACACAATTCCATTGCGTCCAACCGATTTTTCTTACCACCTCAATTCCAAGAGCTCGACTGCTGCGCAGCTACGCTGCACCTTCACTACAGAGATACGTTTAATTATCTTTACATTTTAGAAAAGATAGAAAAAAATGAAAAAAGGAATAATATAGTAGTAACGGGTTGCAAAATAAAAGGAAATACTGCAGAGAAAATAAAAGAGGAGGTTGGGCAGATTATTTATACCAAATTGCAAATAAAACCAATGATAATAACTGCAAATAAATTGGAAAAACATAATAGGCAGATTATTTTCATTAAACTACAAGACTGGGAAAACAAAAAACAAATTTTACATGCAAAAAGTAAACTAAAAGGAACAAATATATATATAGACAGTGAACTAACGGAAAATGAGAAAAATATACAACAAAGCATAAAGCAGATAGCGTCCGAAGAGAGACAGAAAGGAAAAGTTGTTAAAATAGGTTACAAGAAACTAAAAGTAGATGAGAGATTGATGGTATGGAACGAAATGGAAGGAAAACTTACGCCAAAAAACTAAAACATAAAATAGACAATAAGTATCAGATTACCAACAAAAATGCGCTCAACTTAGATAATAGGGGATTATTAGGAACAATAGCGGGTAATATTGCTAGACAATTAAGAGACAACTTAGATAATAAAGTCGACAAAAGAATATACAAAGAAAATAACAAAGCAAAATGTTTAAAAATAACCTTTTGGAATGTTGCGGGTATTAGGAATTTAGAGGAAGAATGGGAAAAACTACTGGAGTATGACGTAATAAATTTAACAGAGACTTGGGCGGACGAAAAAGACAGAGAATTAATAGAAAATAAATTGATAAATTACAATATTTTACTGGTTGAAGCAAGAAGGGAAGGGAAAAGGGGAAGGCTAAAAGGAGGAATGGTCACGGCATTTAGCAAATCCCTAAATGTAAAGTCTACAATAATAGAAAAGTTAAATGAGGAACTAATCAAACTAGATTTAAACACAGACAAAGGAAAACTTATGATCTTAAGCGTATACATGAGAGATAGAAGGAGTGAAAACTATGAAAAAGTAGGAAAAATATTAGAAGATATCAAGGAAGGATACATAATAATGGGAGGAGATTTTAACGCAAGAACAGCAAATAAAGGTGGAAGAGAGAGTGAAATGATGACAGAAGAATATAGGCTATCGAAAGATAAGGTTTTAAATAAAGAAGGAGAGGTACTACTGAATTGGGTTTCAGATAATGGAATGTACATCCTAAATGGAAACGTAAGAGGCGATGAACAAGGGGAATTAACCTACATAGGAACTAAAGGAAGGTCAGTAATAGATTACGTAATTACTAATAGGAAAACTGAAGAAGATCTGATAGAGAGAATGCAGGTAGTGGATAACAATGAGTCAGACCATCAAAGATTAGACTTGCAATTAAATATTTTAACGAAAAAGGTACATGAAAAAGGATCTAAATACAAAACAATAATCTACGAAGGATGGTCGGAGGAGGATATTTTAAATTACAACAATAAGTTAAAAGAATTAGGAAGACCAGAAAATTGGAACGGACTCAGAGAAAAGCTAAAAGCAGCGGTATGTATAAAGGAAATAAGGATTAATACAAGTATCCAGAAAAAGAAATGGTGGGATCAAGAATGTCACGCAGCAAAACTAGAGTTAAAGAAGACAAGGAAAAAATATATAGAAACAGGTGAACTGAAAACAGATTACTGTGAATGTAAAAAGAAATACAAAAAAATAATTGAGGATAAGAAACGACTGACATTGGAGAAAGACTGGTCAGAAGCAAGAAAGGACAAAACGGGAAAGAAGTTCTGGGAGTTAATAAACAAACAAAGAACAAAAAAAGAAGAGATAAGTAAAAAAATACATATGGTTGAATGGACTGAGCACTTTGCTAAACAAATGGGAGGAAAAGTAGTAGAAGAAACAAGACAGCTGGGTAAAGAAGAGAAAATAGAAAAAAATGAAGATCAAGAAATAACGCAAGAGGAAGTAGAACAAGTAATAAAGAAGCTGAAAAAGAAAAAGGCGGCTGGAGAAGATAAAATCACAAATGAAGCCTGGATATATGGTGGAAAGGAATTACAAGAGAACTTGCAAGGAATACTAAATAAAATATGGAATGGAGATGAAGATCTGCCTGAGGAATGGAAAATGGGAATAATAAAACCAATTTTCAAGAAAGGAGATAGACATAAACCGGAAAACTACAGAGGAATAACTCTTATGAACACAGGATATAAAATTTACGCGGAAATACTTAGGAAAAGATTAGAAAAGGAATTGGAAGACAAAAAAGCATTAGGAGAGACGCAGATGGGATATAGGAAAAATAAAGGAACTATTGACGCAATATACATAGTTAAAACGGCCATCGAAGAAGAAATAAAGAAAGAAAAAGGTGAAATTTTCCTCTTCTTTGCAGACATGAAAGGAGCTTTCGATAAGCTTAAAAGAGATACGATATGGAAGACCTTAGAAGAGCTAAATATAGAAAACAAATTAAAAGAGAGGATAAGAGAAATTTATGAGGAAACTTACTTTAAGATAGAAGTTAATGGGGAAAAATCAAAGATTATATCAATGAGAGAAGGCATAAGACAGGGGTGTCCACTGAGCACAGTACTTTTTAATGCAACATTTGCAAACTTAGAGAAGAAAATGAGCACAGCGCAAGAAGGAGGTATAGTAATCGGTAGAAAAAAAATTTGGTCAGTGTCATATGCAGATGACATAGTTTTATTAGCGAATAATGAAAGAGGAATGAGGGAAATGTTAACAAAATTCAACAAATACATAAAGGAAAGAGGGTTGGAATTAAATACAGACAAATCAAAAATTTTAAGAGGGAAGAAGGCAGGAGGAAGAAAGAAAAAAGTCGAATTCCAATGGAACGGAAAAACAATCGAAGAGGTTACAGAATTTAATTACTTAGGCTTCATATTACAGAGGAATAATGGAGTAGACAAGCACATTAAAAATCTGAAAAAGAAGGCATTAAGTGTAATGGGAAAAGTATGGGGAATAGGAGAAAGAAACTTAAGAGATTGCTGGAAAAAGAGAATGTTTCTTTTCGAGACACTAGTAGAAAGTATAATAATGTATGGGGCAGAAATCTGGGGATGGGAAGAGAGAAAAGAAATCGAAAGTATTCAGGACAGATATATTAAATGGACACTAAAGCTAGATAAGAGTACTCCGAGATACCTTCTTCAGGAAGAAACTAAATATGAAAAACTGACCATAAAATATTCAAAAAGGGCCTTAAAGTACGAAGAAAAAATATTAAATTCCGAAGGCAACGCAATACTAAAAGAATGTGTAAAAGTTAAGGACAAAATTGCGCTCTTGCAAAAGGAAGAAAAGAAAACCACAAGGGAAAGATGGAAAAAAGAAAGAAAGAATTTTTTAATGGAGAGAGGGTGGTCAATCAAACATTATATATGGAAGCTGGAAAATGAGAGAAATGTATGGAAGGAACTAGAAAACTTAACTAAAGATATTGACAAACAAAGAAGGAGAGAGAAAATGAGAAACATGAAATTCGCTCAAGAGTACAAGATATTATGGAAAGAAGGAGAAGAAAAACCTCATTATTTGAAAGATGAAGGAGTAAAGAGAAAAAACCACCTACAATTAACTGCAAGATTCAGATTGGGAAGCGAAAATAGAGCGTCAAGGTATTGGGAGGAAGAAGAAAAGAAATTATGCAGATTATGTAAAAAGGAGCCAGAGACGCTTGAACATATTTTTGAGCGATGTGGGGAAACGGGAAGTTCTGCAAAAAGCTGGAAAGCTCAACTGGAAGGAGTGAACAACATGAAAAGGATGAGAGAAATCTTATGGAAGAGAAAAATAGCAGGAGAAGAAAAATAATAAAAATTGTACTTGGTATATATAAAACATATTTTTGCACCTTGTATATATAAAACATAATGTTTTTAATAAAGCTATCTATCTATCTATCTATCTATCTATCTATCTATCTATCTATCTTTACGTTTTATAACAAACATTCTACCAGGCTACCAGTTGAGTTCTTATCTTACGTATCAACCATTTCTAGAGCCATAGTTCTAGGAGATTTTAACGCGCGACACACTACATTCGGAGATACCAGTAGAAACGCCAACCGGCGAATACTCGCAATCGCGCTTCTCACATTCAATTTATTCCGCATAAGAAACACTGATTTCACCTTTTTAAGCCATCAAAGCTCGTCCATTCCAGATCATATACTCTGTACGGACAGAGTCGCGCCACTTTTTTCCGACGAATGTGAAATAGGAACTCCGATAACTAGCGACCACATACCACTATCTGCCACACTTAATATCCGATCATGTAAAATTACACCTAATTATGCCACTACAAGAATATTAATTTCGACAACCTTCGCGAAGACATCAGTAACTCTAACCTCTTCCAACCGACAGTATGACGACAGGATGAAATCGACACCGCGATAGATAATTACAACACATGTGTACAAAACGCGATACACGAAACTGCGCCAGTCAAAATAATCTGTATAGGCCCAAAACCTCTCCCGCGAGAGATAATTGAATTATTCAAAAGAAATCGCGCATTGTATAGACAATTTACGAGAACCCGCGATCCACTCGTTAAAACAGAAACGCGTTAGTTCGACTTAAAACAAACAAACATCAAGAAAAACGTTGGCACGAAACCTGCTCAAAACTTAATTTTCACGATGGCTCCAAATTTTGGAATAAATTCAAAACAAACACCGGTCAAAAACAATCTACAATTACCCATTTAGTAATCAATGATCACATCTACAATACAGCGGAAGAGCAATCCAATGCGTTCGCCGATACATTGCAAAATTTGCACGTTACCTACACGGGTCCACACAACGACGCGATACGCGCCGCGAGAATATATCATAACGTCATAAACGTAATACAAACCGCACAACACGATGAAAATCATATTTTACGCGAAATAACACAGGACGATGTCACAGACACATTCAGTAAACCAAAAAACAATTCATCTGGTGAAGATGGAATCACCAATAGTATCATTAAAAACCTACCTCCCTTCGCCATTGACCACCTTATCACCATATTCAACGCGATTCTCAAAACGGGATACTATCCGACGAACTGGAAGACCGCAAGATCACACGGATCCTAAGACCTACCGACCAATTTCTTTAATAAATAACATGGGCAAAATCTTCCAAAGAATACTCGCGACACGCCTTTCAGACTACTGCAGGGACAACAACATCATCCCAGACACCCAAGCCGGGTTCCGTAAGGGACTAAACTCTTTTGACCCGGTACTCAAAATACAAACAGAGGCAATATCAGCCATGAATTCGGGCGGTTGTACCCTAGCAGTAGCGCTCGACTTTGACACAGTTTAGCATAACGGGCTACTATACAAACTATTACAAATTAACCTTTCCCCTTTCTTCTTAAAATTAATTCACTCTTTCTTAACAGATAGACCGTCAAAAATCAAAATAGGGAACACGTTATTACGCACATTCACGCTATCCGCAGGCGTACCCCAAGGCACGGTTCTTGCGCCACTATTATATAACATATTTTGTCACGACATTCCACAGCCCCTCGATAATTCAATAAGTCTGGCTCAGTACGCAGACGACACCGCTTATTGGGCATACGACATAAACACCAAAGTATGTAACTCTAAAATTAATCTTCAAGTCAATCAACTAGAACTATGGCTCAGTAAATGGCGTATCAAAACTAATCCAAACAAAACTTTACTCATTCTATTCAGACATCCTAATCTCGTCACCAAAAAATCCCTTTCAACGCGCGACGTAAATATTACACTACTTAACACTCGACTAACACTGAAAACAGAAATCACAAACACACTGGATAGAGTACGAAAACGCGCTAACTTAATCTCTCTAATAAACGGTCGAATAAAGACGTGTAATACAAAAACTCTTCTCCATACATATAAAACATTTGTAAGACCTCATAGATAGATTATCGCGCAGTATCACTAACCACAGCCACACTATGGCACACACACAAAATACTAACAACCGAGAGGTGTATTTTACGTAAAATCGCGAGACTAAATATATTATTTCCTTCCGACACATTATACGATAACATCACATCAATCCCCACACGCATAAACACACTACAAACAAACTTCGCTAAAAGAGCCATCGAAAACACCAACCCCATCACAACAAAAACTCTATCCCACATACCCGAAGGATCACACAAAAACCAAAACACAAAATCCCCTTCCCCCCTGCCAAATTATTGGCAACCACTCCCGGCCTCCCTAACGAATACCTCAATTACCTGGATAACCTTCCCAACTCCTTAAAATAACCCCACACACACACACACTCTCACACACACACACACACACACACACACACACACACACACACACACACACACCTACACCCACACACACACACAAACGCATTCTTAAAAACACAATCACATACAACTCTGAACAACAATTGACTGAAGAGGACCTTAATTAATCCTATAACGGCCTGAGGTAGAGGGATTTTAGTCGGTAGGTCCAAGGACATCTTCCTCGGGAATCCGACACTACCCAGTCATGGCTGGCTGTCTTTTGAAGATTTCCTCTCTTCCACGAAAACAAAAAAAAAATGACACCGACACTATCCACCGAGTGACTTTTGCGATACCACTTACGAACGTGACGACCACTTCATCACCCTTGAGAATGCTTGCCGCAGTTGTAGGCGAAACGTTAGGAAGTAATTTTCATAGACAGCGGCCAGAAAACCCGATCACACTTTCTGTTTAAGTGTGTTGACTATTTCTTCTTCGAAAGTGTGCAGCTATATTTCTTGCATTATTCCTGATAATGGACTTCACATGGCTAATCCATTTTTTGTTTATAGTATGAGTTGTTGAATCTGAAATAATTTTGATTTAGAATTGTACGAAGCATTCTTCTTAATTGTTTTGTATTTATTCTCCCAAAAATTGTTTCTATTATTAAAAGTTTCTTCAGTATGTATATTTGTGTATAGGTTTGTGATGTCAAATGATACTATACTTATTTTGTTTGTTATATTAATATTATAATGTCTACCTCCAAGATATGCGTTATTTTCTCATCGAGCCACCATTTCCTTGGGATGTGCAGAGCACCACATTCAAATTGGAAATCAGATATTTAGTCGATTTGCACAACGGTCTTTGCTGCGAATAGGCGGACATTCAACAGTATTCCTTTCGTGAACTAGTCCATCCTATACTACAAGAGGCAGATGTGGTGTATTGTTATGGAGAGGTAACCAAGCGGTGGTTAAGCGACTACTTGGAGGAAGAATATTGCCCATTTCCCATTGATCAGGAACTGTATTTAAATGTTGATGTAGGTGACAACCACTTAAAACACAGAATACCCTTTTGTGTTTATCTAACTGATAGGTTTATAAATTACTGCAAGCTTCTTCAGAACGCCTCACAGGTGAGCTTACGTTGCAGTGCTTAAGCGACAACTTTCTGTGGTGGTCAATTTCATCAACTAGAAGGAAGTAGGTTACCTGTTTTCGCCTACAACAGTGTTCCTAATACAACAATGGCAACCAGTTTTTATTGGCATAGAAGGCTTTATGGGCTCCTTTGAGTGATTTATTTTTTTAAAGAAGTTCCCATTGCATACCTACCCGAGAAAGATGTGCGTTATTTCCTCATCGAACCACACTTGATGTGTAGTTCACCACATTCTGATTGAAAAACAAGCATTTGATCGATTCGCACCACGATCTTCGCTGGAAATCAGGAAACATTCCAAAACAATTCCTTCAGCGAATTAGTCTATCCTCTTCTACAGAGGGCAAGTTTGGTTTATAGTTGGTATTGGAGAGATCATACTTCAGTGGTTGAATGGCAAGAAATCAACTTTGTTAACTTGGAGGTCATGTTCACAAAATTGTCTTTTTCTTACTGTACATCTGTTTATTAAATAAATAAATGTATGGATCGCGCTTGCATAATGCCTTACGTATGCCGGATGCAAATTATATATATTTTGTATTACATTTCCTGAACCTGATAATAGTATGATCTCTTCAGCTTTTATGTACATAATAATTAAAAAACGGGTCACAGACTCGATGAGGAGTACATGCATGCAGCTGACAGTATATTTAAATTCGAGGAATTTCACGGCAAGGATAAGTACCATTGTATGTGTAAATGCGCAGACGTTATTTCTAACTCCTGAGTCGAAAATCCTTTCCACCTTTATTCCATCTTCCAAGTTAACATATACCTTTCTATTTGTAAAGCATTTGTAGCTGTTTAATTTGAGTTAGTATTTAATTATCAGTAACAAGATACACATCGCTATCATCGTGAAAACAAAACTACGCTTAAAAAATAAGTAGGGACTTACAATATAATAGGGGTAAAGTGTTTACAAGAGAATTGTTGCGTCCGGAGTGAATTCACTTATTCCCACCACAAGATTCTAAATCGAGGCAGTTCAAGGTCAAGTGCAAAGATGCTATTCCTCACTCCTCATCAATCGATTCTAAATAGAGAAAGTCAAAGGGACAAGTCGCGAACATGTAAAGACGTTGTTACTCACTCATTAACCGATTCTAAATAGAAAGAAAAATGAGGGAATCGCTATTCCACTCACTCCTCCTAATTCAGAATCCGCTCATTCCCCGTACTAGTATGCAATTGAAACCATAAAATTTTAAAATAACTATATTCATAGCTTCAATTTGACAATTTAGTGAAATTTTTGCAGTTTTATTTTTTCATTCAAAATGTAGTTGTAGTGTTGTTTCTTGTATAGAGGAGAAAATTTGCTAATTCGATTTTTCTCACTCAACATTTTTCAAAGTACTCAGCATGACATATTACGTAGGGTTTGACTGAATAATACACTAAACAGTAGGCTTTAGTGTGATTGGATTTATTTACATTGATTAGTAGAGTAGAAAAGATATAATAAAATTGTAAAGAATGAATGAAATGAAATAGAACGGAATGAGGATTTCATAAACAGAGCCGACAAAGAAGTAGTTGTGCAAGAGAACACTTCTTTATATGACTGTTACCTATGATAGAAACAAAGCAATGGAATTTTGACCAGAATTGTCAATGCAGAAGGAGAAATCTATTTCGGAAAAGTAACTGAACGCAGAACAAGTTAGTAAATAAGCATGTATTATATGATATTGTAAAGTCTAATGTATATATTAATGAACAATTTCACGCTTCTTCAGAAATAACATGTTGTAGATAGTTAGTTGTCTATACACAAGTCTGCTAATCAGTTGTGTGATAATCTCCTTATATTCGAATAAAGTTTAATTTCTTTACAAAGTTAATTTTGATTTCAAAGAATATATATATAAACGGTAGTTCTTCAACTGTTTTGATCCTTCAAATCTTTTATATAGATCTGTTTAAACCTGTGTACATGTTAGATATTAGGATAAATCATATATGTAAACGTAAAGTACCTAGCATTTTGCTGACTAGGTAAAACCGAGCTTCTAAATGTAGTGTCGTTGTTAAGGTACTTTAGCTTCAGATAAGACTGTGAATTTTGTACATTGAAAAGAATAAATGTTCTTTCTTTTAAAAAAGATAATTTTATCGTTTGAGCATTTAACATACATACCTTCCTCCAACATTACTGTAAGTTTTTCGAATAGAATAGTATTAATTAATGTGGTTATGCTAATTAGAAAAATTGAGGACAAATAATACAAATAAATATTAAAACCAACAATTCGATTTTTTTAATTAGAAAGTTAACTGACAAAAGGACACTTACAAATATAAAAGAATATTTCAATAACTTCAACGTCATTTCAATATGCTAAAATTAACATTTATTTTTAATCAAACACGATAAAAAACTAATTAACAGTAATATCCGCAAGTTTCTGTAAAACATTTTCTACCTTTACTTTACAACGTAAATTGAAAGGTGCGCCGACCAAACAATGATTTTCTATACAAAACTTTAAAAACTCTCTCCAGTTTTCATCATTTTCAAGGAGGAAGGGATTACCAATGACAATTAATAATGCTTTTGCTCGTGTTAAAGCAACGTTAAATCTCTGAAAAAGAAAATAAATATTTCAGATTGACATTATTGTGTTTAGTCCAGTCAAATTAGATTGAAAAAAATTGAACAATTAGGAATGCTTACGAATATTCTAAAAAATTAGGTAAATAAAATATTTCGGTCTGTATATTATCAAATGAAAATAACATATAAATTGTAGAAAGTTCCCAGAGTAACATTTTCTAGCTTCAAAGATATACTTACAGATTCAAAGCTAAACGACGCAACATGTAAGAACGATTTTACAACAACCCGATTGGTTTTTTCGAGTTATTTATTGTTAACAGTTTTATTTGAGGCTCGTGTAGACTTAATTGTTAAAGTGAATTTGAAACCAATAATTTTATACATTTCATGTATTTTTAAAGCTCCGTAGTTCAGTAATAATAATGGACCATAATAAAACGGAAGGTGATGTTCATGAAATCGGCAAAAAATTGAAAAAAAGAATTTAACCAAAAAATGACAACAAATAACAAGTAAGTTCGTTAAAAATTTACAATGTACCCAGTCACGTTATTGTAGAAGCTGGACTATTAAACGTGTGTTAATAAATGTGAACTAAATATGCACAAGCTCTACTAAATATACAATATTTTAACAGAACAACATCTACAAGTTAAAGAGTCTTATTTCAGAAATTATGTGAACTTTACATCAAGCCGAAACAATTACATTTAAGACGGAACGAATGTTCAAACCTTCGGTAGAAATGTGATATGATGTCGCAAATTTAAATTTACAATTTCAGTTGTTGCGATCAGCTCGTTGCTAACCGTACCATTGACAACACACAAGGTTATAACGCATTTACAAGAACAAGTCGAAACTAGTCTCAAATGAAAATTGATAAAGATAAAGAACTCTAAAGAGCAACTGTTCGCTAAATCATCCCTACATGCTGCATTGTTTAGCAACAAACATAAAACTGTATGTATCTAGATATGCATGTGTATATCTCCGCTTTTAAAGAATGTTTCATTTATGTATGTGTTTTTTATATTTAACAATATACCTAGATAATTTAGATATTTAATTTGTATTTCTTCTTTTCGGGAAATGCGAAGTTTAGCTCAGGATAGGAAAGAGTGGAGGTACGTGTCCAACCAGTCTTAGGACTGATGACCTTATGATGATGATGATTTCTTCTTTTCGCAATATAATTATGAATATTATGTCGAAAGTTATAAAAAAGAAAGATAATTGTCTTATTTAAAAAAAATAAAACGAAAAAGGAATACACATGCAAGATTTAGATTATTTGCAGTAAATAATTATTCTTGGTTCGAGCTCAGCTATTCCGACTGGCGCACGGTTGGATTATAGTTTTTTATTTTCCCGACTTATTTAAATAAAACTGTTAAAGTTACATGCAAACTTTCTAATCTCGAAGTTTAATTTGACTGAACTAGTTATAGCCCGGTCAAGTTAGCTTTAAAAATAGGGGTAGGATTAGGTACATTGATTCACATAAAGCTGAAAATTGGTATGAATATTGGGAATACCATTACAAATAAATTGTACCCATCGATCCAACGTATGCAAAAATATTTATTTTTTCATCTAAACGGTAAGCTTTATCGTAAAAATAGGCGAGACAATAATTACCCATTATGCAATTTTCTATAAAAATTGTTTTTACGCTTTTTTCCCTAAGAATCACCATTTCAGAGATATAGAAATGCAAAAAGTTGAAAAAATTCTGTTCTTCATAATATGCACACGTTTCCGCGGCACCTGTGAGATAATGTACTTAGCGCGTTTCTTTTTTAACGTGGTTTCCCCTATTCCACGATTGTGGTGCTGAGCTAAAAATATTGTATTAAATAAAAAAAAAGTATTATTGGAAATGATGAAAAAGCTGTTAGTTATGAGAAATTTGGGAAATTATTCGTGTAATTGATAATCATCTAATGGAACTTCAAGCACACTGTCTTCTTCTGAATACAAGTAAATTGTTCAAAGAGCGATGCATCAGATGTCTCTTCGCTGATATCGTAAGAATCCTCTTCTAATGGTGATTCAACACTGGTGCACGATTACCCTCGACATCTGATACATGCTAATGAATAAAACAATCCAACTTAGCATTACATCCTTTTTTGCAATTGCAGAAAATTGTATTAGAGTGTTTTTCCGGTGCAGGTGGAGGTAAAGTCTAAACTAATTCCAATGTATTCTCAATTAACTTCCAACCCCAGCCTTTTAGGTTTAGTTTATTACCAAACCACACTTGAACTTGACAATACACTCGAAATAGATGTTGATTAGTAGAGGTTGGAGGAAGACAAGTTAATTGCACTCGTTTTTTGTTGAGTATTTTTAAAAAAAGATAAGTATTGAAACTTATCTAAGCACGTAATTTTTTTGAAGCTCCATATACAGAAAAAAGGAAGCGAATTCTGTTGGTAATAATCAACTAAATCTTGTTTCTCAAACAATTTCAAAATTGTTGTTTTACCCCTCCTGAAAAATGCTTATGTCGTGTCGCAGCCAGTTATTTCATGTAAAAATAGTATGTGATTTTGGCATTTTGAAACAGCAGATAAACTTTTGGATGAATATATTTTCTATTGCTGTTGAACCGCTCTAGGTTTTAAAAAATAAATATTTTTTTCCGTTGGAGTTCGAGCAGTAATACCAATAAATCAATATCTTCACCAACCAATTTGTATTTGTCGAGTTAAATTGTTCTATGGCTATTTCGATTAACTGAACATCAGCCATATAACCATAAAAAATATTTAATCCACAGTTTTGCGTTAGGTCCACCTCCTTCATGTTCTCTTAGTCTTTCACTGAACTGATTAACTAATGCTCCAGATGTTTCTTCGTCATTTTCAACATCATTATATGAAATAGTGTTATCCATTAGGCTCTCAGCAGTAATGATATGATTTGCATCTATGACGTCATCAATATTAAGCTCTTTTAATATTATTATTGCTAAAGTTAGCTGAAGTAATGTATGAGTTCGAACAGCTTCCGCATAAGCATGACCACTGAGAATTTTTTCTAATGACCCAAGTGTATTAATCAAAGTATTTCTTTCATGCTGCTTCCTTGCATAATGTAACCAATTGCATTAAGAAAAGACATGAGTAGATGAAATCCTCCTAGCCTAATTATGATCTTTGATAATTCAGACCTTTCTGGTGCTGGTGATACGATTTCATTTATACATTTATTTTACTATAACTTACTACACCATGATTTTGGTAGATCTGTATTGGTATATGAGCTATTGCTGCAAAATCTTTTGCTGGAGGGGCTTCTTTTATTCGTTGTATAGGCTCTTCTAGTAAAACTGAACTTTTTGGAGGTAAAATTTGAATGATACCCATTATGTGAAGCGTGTTATGACCATCCAGCGTATTTACATTTATATCAGCATTGTCTACAACATACTTGTAAAAGTGGCAGTTTCTGGTGGTAAGATGTGAGGTGGACGGTGACTGGCTTGTACACTATAGTATCATTATAAGATGTGCACCAAGACGAAAAAAAATGTAAAAGATGTTTTAACCCAAAAAAGACCCGATTGTAATTTTGATTTGAAGGAACTTGCTTGAACAGCAGTCATAATGCTATGGCTAATATTTGTGCATAATAATTTTAAATATTCTAAATTTAATCGTTTATTTTTTAGAATAAGTTTGTTCTTCTATGTGTTGTCTTTTAATTGCAGCAATGGTACTCTTCCGAGTGTGTTTTTTTCGATACTACATATGAATTGTCACAGATGTCTGGTTTTTCAGGTATTTCAAAAATACATCACCTTTTTCAATACTTGCATCAATAAACATCTTTAGGCAACAATTTCACTTTCGGTCAAAAGGTTACTACAAATAAAGCAAAATTGCGACATTTATTTTACAAACAGAAATCTGCGCAAATTTTACTAGGAAGGAACGTTCGAGACTAATACTATTTTATTTAGGTCCACGTGGAAAATTCAGTAGTAGACTTATATTACGCCTCTGTAACGTATTTAAAGGTAATTGACATACTATACTTATTATGAAGAACAGAGCTTTTTCAACTTTTTGCATCGCAATATCTCCGAAATGGTGATTATTGGAAAACAATGCGTAAGAACAATTTTTGTTTCACTTTTTTTTATAATAAAATTTACCGTTTAGCTGAAAAATTAAAAAAAAAAAAAAACGAATTTTACAACATTTGACATTGAATATCTTTTTTTTGCACATTGATCGATGGGAACTTTTGACAATTTATAATGGTGTTCCCAACATTCATGCTAATTTTTTGCTTTATGCGAATTATTGTAACCTTGAATGTCTATTCTGACCGGACTATTATACTTATTTTACTATTTGTAATAGAATATTTTAAGAACCTTTGGGTTTCGTAAAAAGCCTAATTTAAACTTCTGATCATTGTCGCAGTTTTGTTGTTGGGAACGAACAGTTGACAAAAGAATAACTAAACGTTCTTGCCCCTGGAATTTTTCCACAGAACCGACGGTAATATTTTCAAGATTTTTAGCTCTACAAGCATTTCTTATCTTTTCAACCTGAAAAAAGAAAAAGATTTTCAAATGAAGTTACATATTATTGTTATAATAGGAATCAAATAGAATGCTAAATATCAAAACAGAGTTAGGGGATAACAGGGACAAGGGGACCACTTTTTACGTGGAAATACTCTGAAATTTTATTAGATATATATTAAACTATAACTAACTTTAATTTTTATTTTATGAGAGATGGAAATACATTGGCTCATACATTTTACGAATAAAAAAATAATTCACCGTTGGAGACAAATGTAACAGACCTTGAAGCAATTGTAACAACGTCGTATATGACAAAAAGCGTAATAAGAAACAAAATACATTTTCTATTGAAATAAACAACGTAAATAAGTGTAATAAAAATCAACTTAATAATACTCTTGAAGTCTTAAAACAATCCCTGTAATTAATGCAGCAAAAATAAAGACGCTGCGTCACCATCTCTGTAGTACAGTAGTTTTTGTTTTTATTCGTTTTACAGACTACTCACACGCTTAAATCATTTCAATTTCATTCAAATATATAATTTCTAATTTTATTCACTTGTTTGTTCCTTGCTCCCGTTTTACTTTTCCAGTTCCTGGGTAATGTCCAGATTTCTGAATTTTACGACGGTTACTAATCACTTGATTAAACATGTTCATTACACTAAATAAATTAGAAGGTAAAAATACTACGCGAAATAACTTTTCTACCGATAAAAGCGACTTTTTAAAATTTATTACAAAGAAAAAACTTATCTACTCTAAAAGACGTTACAAACATGAGTGATTAATATTGTGAGATAAAAAGGTTTTTTGTTTTCTCAGAAGCTTGTACAATAATAAGCGCCACGGCGATGATCGGATGATGCATGTAATAACAGGCGATATAACATACACAGTATAAAATTTAATATTGCGTGTTGTTAAATTTCACAGGCAGATATTCGGGAACTTACTATTGTAAGTGGAATATCAGCACACGCGTTAAATTAATAAGGCGTGTTGTTTAATTCTTTGGTGGAAGGTAGAAAAAAATAGCACTCTTGCAGCGAAGTCGACTTACTTAAATATATATTTACAAATATGTACAGAGTATCTCCATCGATTATTAGTAAGATTACACAAGTGCCTCTTGCGTTTTTGTGCTGACTTAGTTCAAGTGCCTGCTTTGAAGTCCTTGGTCACATCTTATATCTAACTTAAAAACTAGGAGGAAAATGCCAAGGGTGTGGCGAATGTCACCATTGGTGATTAACCCTTTAAAACCACTTTGTGGAGACGTACAAGGCGGGGCTTTCAAAACTCAAAATATGTGGAAAGAGGGATATTTACAACCTGAGAAAAGATCGGCTACATCAAGAAAACAACAAACGGTACCTTTAACTGTGAACTCATAAAAATAAACACCCCAAAATAAAAATGAAATTATATTGGTGATCATAAAGGATCCTTCTTAAACCGTTACCCCTATAAACTAATTTAACCATTCACTTTATGCGTCTAGCCATCCTCGAAGGGTCTACGGTCAAATAACACAATGCCGCCTAGTATGTTTGCAAAGTATTCTAAAAACTGCATGCAGGCACTTTATGGCCTGCATTAAAAAGGAACGGCCTTGACTCTGAACATACCGCCCGCCTTGAACGGTCCCGTTCAATAATAATTGAAATGTACAAGATTTCTAAACACAATAGAAAGTACAACAATGAATTCACATTTTAACACTGCGATAGAAAAGCACATAGAAAAAAACATTATGAATCCTAAATTGTCACTAAAAGCTACCAATTTTCAATTATAAACACACAAACGTCACGAAATTTAAAATCATAAACATAAACATTGAAAACTTTCAACAATTTTCTTCACTAATTTTTTACTACAAGCGTGTTAGCATAACTTATAAGATACATTAAATGAATTGGAAGCATCTATTTACACAAATTTTTTGTTAATATCTTAAGGGTAATAAAGGCACTAAACCTTTAACACTGCACGTTTAAAACATCGGATTTAGTCTTCACTTTTCTAACACGCACTCTTTCATAGTCTTCCAGAAAACCGTTTAGAACTCGGTCACGTGACCAATATACAGGTCGCACATTGTCTTCTCTTGACACCACTAATGTACCGAGTTTTCCTTTTTCCGCACTTTTTTGCTGCAACTTGGTTCTGGTTACTACTTGATTGAGGTTTTCTTTATGTCGTCTCTTCCTGAAGTAGAGCCTAAAGAGTTGGATACATTCCCATGCAGAAAGACGATTCACAGGTAAAGGTGTAAGTTTCACCTGAGGCACGCTTGCAAAAGTATCTCCTATTAGGAAGAGGGTAGAAGTGGGATTGTTGTTAAGATAATCGGATAAGGGATAGTCGGACTGGAATAGTAATTCTAATTCAGTCGTATCTCTTAACAACTCATTATCTGCAAATAACTGACTTATTGTTTTACAAAAATGACTCTTAAATGAATTAGTCCCTCCTGTAATTAGACCAATGAATGGTTTAACATAATTTGCCAAGAGAAGTAAAGGGTACACGCAAACTTTGATTTTTCCACGACTTCGGAATCTCTTTGTCATAATATAGAATGATTCACAATAATCCAATCCTACATTAGAAAATAATTGCTTTTGAAAAACCCTATTCCTTAGTAAATTTTCCCTAAGATAAGATTTACTACGATGCTTGCTTTTGAAACAAAAAACGCAGTTGTGTATAATTAATTTTGTTGCATTTTTGCCATTAATTGGCCACTTGTTTGCTCTTACAGCATTCAGCCTGCTTTGAGCCTCACTATGCAACCACATGACGTGTTCTTCACGAATAATTAAACTTACTGTATTATTATTTTTTGTTAGCACAATCGGATGTTTTTCCGAGAACGATAAGTTACAATTTCCCACGGAAATTAACTTGAACACATCTAAAACCTGAACAGAAGAACTACAGCCGCCCTTTATATTGATATATGTTTGTTGTGACCATTGCCTAATATAAACACTAAACTTCTCCCTTTGAATTAATTTTAAATCTACCCTTAACAATTCACTAATTTCGCTTATATCTAGATTAACACTAAAATTTGGTTCACCTTTAGAATTAGAATTATGGTTTTGTAGAATGCGTACTAATTGTCTATTGACGAAATGATCGGACAATTTGTCACCAATGCAAGACACAATTGCAGTTTTAACGTTTTCCTTATATTTGTATTTAGATCTAGTTTTTGCTTCAATCGATTGATTTATTGGTGTTTCATTTGGGTCTAAACCTTTTACAGAATAATTAACTTCATAAACTTTTGAATCAGAAGTACTTGTGTCGTCTACAATCTTACAATTTTTCCCAGTATGTAGCATAGTACTGAACTGAATTAACTTACTGCATTCCAGACATTCTGTCCACCTGCATTCACCATTATGATGCCCACTCTTTAAACAATTAAGCCATGTTTTAGTTTCTTTAAATAACTGAACCCTTTCCTTATTTACCTTAACTTTCACAAACCTTTCACTCTCTCGAATTTTATGCCCTTTGCAAACTGAACCTGAATTAACCCTTTTTGGTACTGTAAAGATTTGTTTTTTAGTAAAATTATATTTATGCTCATTGTTTAATTTTTGTTGATGTGAACTAACAAAAGGAGATAATTTACCCTTTGGACACGTTGTTACGGTATTTTGAATATTTGTATTCTCATTCATTAATACAGTTACATTACTTTCTAATCTAACTGCCACTTTGTTTGTTTCTAAAACACCCTGCGCATAACTAATTGACTTAAAATAAAGATTTTCGAAATTATTGTATTCTACACTATCAAACTCATCCACATTTATTTTCATCTGAAGTTCATCAAATTGATCTAAGACACCATTAATTTCATTTAAACGTATTCGCATTTCACTTAAGTTATCTTTATTTTCCTCCGCATAAATAAACTCACTGAATTCGGCTAGCCTAACCTTTAGAATTTCTTGTTGCATTTTACATTCTGCTATATTTGACTCACAATTCACACTTTGATTAGGAACAGTTACATTATTTTCCAATGTAACTGCCACGTTGTTTGTTTCTAGAAGACTCTGCGCATAACTTATCGACTTAAAATATAGATTTTCAAAATTATTGTAATCGACACTATCTATGTCATCTACATTGATTTTTATTTGCAGTTCTTCAAATTGATCCAACACACTATGAATTTCACTTAAACGAATTCTTATTTCACTTAATCTAATTTTGTTCTCTTCCGCATAAACAAACCTACTGAATTCGGCTAGCCTGACCTTTAGAATTGCTTGTTGCAATTTGAATTCGGTTATCTCTGAAATAGTAGCCATTTTTATATACTAAAATACTCTAAAAATTTAAAACAATAAACGACTGAATTAGTTTGGGTGAGGAAATACACTTAGGAGATACTCTACAACTTACTATGAACTATGCGCCTTACCCCAGGGAAGAAACAACCTCTCCTCCAGAACTCAAAAACACTACGAATCTTCCCTCAATGCAGTATCCTCTTCTGTGGAATACTTATCACTTGGCGCTTCCCTCACGACAATTTCCTCTACTCCAGAACTCGGGGTCACTTGATACGAGCACTTCACAAAATGTGGAATTGGTTAACGTTTCACTATGATACTTCGCTGCGGTTTTTTCGAATCACTTAAATTTATTAGAACTTTGATTTTGTTTAACACGTATTTGAATTCACATTCTACCTTCCGAACGCATATGTATATTAGCCCACAATGACTAACAAACTTACATTTATTGTTCACTTCCACTTGTGAACAACATCACACAATTTTAATTCGCACACAATTTTGCGAATGTATATGTATTTTAGTCAACACAATGACTCACCCTCTGATAAAGACTTATTGTTCACTTCCACTTGTGAACAACATCACACTTTTAATTCGCAGTTTGCGAACGTATATATATTGTCAATACAATGACTCACACAACTTATTGTTCACCTTCACATGTGAACATCACACTAGTTTC